ACTCGCAAGACACCATGTTTTAAGGGAGAAAGTAAAAAATACAATATGTTTTAGGGAAATTGCCTAAGAGTGAAGAAATCTAGCTGTGCGGATTAAATAAGATTTTGGGAAGAGATTGGCAGTTGGTGTGCTACCTGACCTGCAGGGACGAGTGGGCCGCTATTGTCAGTAACGAGAGAAACGAAAGGTGATATTTACTTGGCACATGCTGTTCAGTGACCCGGTCCATCAAAGACTCACCGGGACTGAGGTAAGTGGTACTGGCCCCTCCAATTTACAGATGGGAAAACTGAGGTTTAGAGAGAGCAGCACAACCCAACGTTGGTTGCAGGAGGCCCCAGCCGAGAGCTTCTCTCCCAGACCCTGTCTTTCAACAGCTGAGTCACCGGCAGAGAAATAAAGAACACAAAGGAGGGCCTCCCTGGTGGCGCAGGGGTTAAAGTCAGCGCTATCAAGCTATTGCCAGCTACCCACAGGACGCAGCAGACGTTCCCTGTCTCCCCACCACTCCCCGCAGCAGTGTGTTTCAGTCAGTGTCCTGTTCTGCTCCCCACTCTGTCTCTGGTGAACCCGCTCATCCCCCACACCTCTGGCCTGTACCCCAGCTCTTGTCTGCATAAATAAATCTTAAAAAAAAAAAAAGAACACAAAGGAGGCAGGAAATGTGAGGCCCACGGCGGATTAGACAGGGACTCCTCAAGTGCAGGGAGCATGTGCGTCTTGCTCCCCGTCTTCCCGAGCGCACTGCAGGTGTTCAGCAAGTATTTGTGAGTGAGGGAAAGTGAGGGGTCCATCTGCTGGAGTGGAGGGTGTAAGGCTGAAGGCAGCCGGACAGGGCGGGGTATGAACTTGGGTATGAAGTCACAGACTTAACCAGAGGTGGGGGGGGGGGGGCGAGGCCCATCAGGGGTTAGTGGCTCAGCAGGTGCTGAGGTGGGGAGGAGAAGAGTTTGTGAAGTTGCTGGAATTTCCTGGGAAGTGCAGAAGGTCTAGGAAGGTGGTGGGGCCACAGGAAGAAAGAATGAGAAAGAGGCTGGGAGGGCGCCTGTCTCCAACTCAGAAGTGAAAGTGTTAGAACTTTCTTCTCTATCAGCCCTTGCTTGCAAAGCCTCCCTCCTTCTCTACCAAGCCTTGGTCAGCTGAGGCCCGCACAATCCTCATGTAAAGTGAACACAGGGACATCCTGGTTGCCTGGGGGTTACCCAGGTATTAAAAGAACAGTCAGTATTTTCCCGGACTCTACCTGCCCCCTGCTTTAACCACTGCGGTTGGCTGGCATCTGGCTGGCATCTACCACACCTCATGCTGAGCCTCCCCCCCAAGAACTGAAGTCAATTTCTTCTCCAGGGTTTGGAAAAACACTCCTTAGCTGGCACTGTTTGTTTTGCCCAAGGCCCCTCCCTTGTGGACCCCGCCTACTCCTCCAAATCTTATAAAGTGGCCTCACCCCAGGAGCCCCAGTTATCTGGAAAGATAAAGATACAGCTCCAGTTCTCCCAGGAACCCAAGGTCCTTTGGAAAATCAAACTCGAAGAGGAATAAAACTGTACATCCCCGTCCACTCAATCCCCGTCCTCAGAAGCAGAGAAGGACGTGTCCTGCTTTTTACCCAGGCCCCCGAAAAGAACTAAGTTTCATGAAGACTTGGTATTTCTTCACCCCCATACGCCAGCTGGGTGTTATGCCCCTTGCTGTGTGGGTGGGGCAATGCAAGCCAGGCAGGCTCAGGCGGCCGCAAAGAAGTTCTTTGAGCCAGAGATGGGAGGTGATTGAGGAGCAGGGCTCTGGGGCTCTGGGGTCCCTCCCTGGCTGCCTGTCTCCCTCTAGGCACCTGTCAGCACCATCATTCATTCCAAGTAGCTATCTGGACCTACTTTCTAATTTTTATTTTCCAAGTGGGATTTCCAGAGCGGGCTTCTCACTGTTGTAAGGCTGCGTCGGGACAGTCGCAGCCCTGGACACAGCACAGGTTAGTCTGGTCCTTGTCCTTTGTCCCCTGAAGTATATCTTGTCTTGCCTCTCTTTCTGGCCTGAGACCACCTATTGCTTAATTACGGGGTCCCCTACCCCTCCCCTGGTAAGAATTCACCTTTTGAAGAGATAGGATTCAACATTTTTAGTATCTTTCCCAGACCTATGTTTTGATGAATTTGCACCAGAAATCCTTGTGCAAATGGTCTTGGAGAGAAGAGACGCAGGCCCAATAGTGGGGTGTGGTAGACCAGAACAGGGCCGGGGCCATTAGACTGCCCTGAAAAAGCCCACTCTGCTACTGAGCAGCTTGGTGGGGGGGTGGGGGTGGTCACTGCAGTCCCCCACCTCCATCCCTTACTTTCTTCTCTGGGGTTTAATTGATTTTCTTTGTAAGGGAAGATAGCAATAGTCCCCCTCCTTAATTTCTTTTCTGAGCTTTAATTGGTTTCCTTTGTAAAGGAAAATAATAGCCCTGGGGCCTAGCTGAGTACCCACCCCCCCAAGATAGTAAGGCCTCAGCTGATAATGGTGTAGAGAATAAATACTTTATCTCATTGAGTTATCCTGAGGATTAAAGTAAATGCTGAATATCAAGTATGTCTCAAGGAACTTAGCATATAGTAGCTACTCAATAAAAGCAGTTTAACACTGTGGTCTTTATTAATATTTAGAACTGAACAGAAGCCTATGGGTCAGGAATAAAAAAACCACCACCCTGAATTCAAATCCCAATTCCATAATTTTATGTAGAAAAAAAAGCACTGGATTTGGATCAGGAAGAGTCAGGGCTGAGATGTGGCTCTGCCAGACCTAGCTGTGTGGACTCGAGATCATAGGTCACATCTCTGAGCATGTGCCGACTGAGGGGGTGGCGTAGACCCCCTCCGCCAGTTCCCACAGCCTCCACCTAAGACAGTGGGTCAAGCAGCTCTCGCCTTCTAGTGCCCCGGCCTGGGGGGACGGACCCCCACCCCTCAGCGAGGGTCCACACCGTGGGGCCTGGTGGTGCCTATTCAACTGGCTCTGGGCAGAGAAGCGTGAGCAGCTTGCTTGTCCACAAGAGCCTGGTCCCCTACCACCAGGGGACCCCTTCCCCTCTACCTCTAATTCCAGCGCTATGGGAAAGAGCGGCCAACTGCTATTATGCCCCTTCAGAACAGGTTTCAGAGGCTCCTGTGGATCATTCCTTCAGGAAATACTTATCAATAAGCAAAACAGAAATCAGGCATTCCAATGGCGAGATGCAGGCCGATGACCCTCTCATGAGGACATGCACAGCACAGGCATGAAGACGCCTGCTTGAATTCCAGGGGTGCTCCTCACTGCCTTCCTGGTCACCTCTTTGGAGGCACCGACTGGCAGCTTGTCATTTACAAGGCACCTGAGAACATTCTCTCTCTGGACGGCAGAACCAAAACAGGCATCAGGGGCCCAGGGAAGTGGAGAGTTGTCCAGAGGCGGCAAGTGGGGGCTGTGACCGCCTGGCTTCCCCACCAGCACCTCTCCCCAGTCCTGGTTAGGACACCCCCCCAGCCTTGCCCAGGGGCAGGTCCCCCAATCGGCCTGCCCCAGACAGCCGTGGTGACCCCCACTTGCTGCGGGCCCTGGGTGAGAGCCAGGTGGCATGTCGCGGGTGGGTGGGAGCAGGGCCAGCGCGCAGGCCTTCTCCCAGTGGCCTTCTCTGAGGGGGCCAACCGGTGGGGAGGCACGCCCAGGGCGGCCAGCGGTGCTGATTTCTGGGTCCATCCCCGGTGGCAGCTGCATTCAGCCTGAAGCCACTCATCGGGCGTCACTACTGCAGCGATCGATCGTCCACGAGGACAGAGACGAGCAGTTTTTGTCGCCTAATTTGATTGACTTTCTCTACTTGAGAACGTGAATTCCAGGAGGCGGGAGGCTTGTTACCCTGTTTATTGCCAACCCCGCTTCCTCGAAGCCCCGAGGCCGAGGCCCATGCGCTTGGCCCGGGAGCCCGGGAGCCCGCAGCAGGCCCGGGAGCCCGGGAGCCCGCAGCAGGCCCGGGAGCCCGGGAGCCCCGCAGCAGGCCCGGGAGCCCGGGAGCCCAGCAGCCCGGCAGCAGGCCCGGGAGCCAGGGAGCCCGCAGGCGGGTGGGGGGCCGGGGCGAAAGCCTCAGCTGCAGCTCCACCCCGCCGGAGCGGTGCTTCAGGAAAAAACGAGCTCCTTTTGAAAGAAGAGGCATTTCCTGCCCACAAATACTCGCTTTCGGGGCGCGGGGCCGGGGTGGTTCCCGCTGCGCCCCCAGGGCGCGGGGCCAGCCGGCGGGCCGGGCGTCGAACCCGCGGCGGGGCGGCGAGGGCGCCGGCCCAAGGTCACCGGCGCGGCGGGCCGGGGCGGCGGCGGCGGCGGGGCGACCCCGCCGGCGGGCGGCCGCGGGGGCGCCGCCCAGGGCGCCTGCCCGGTCGGGGCGCCCCACCCCGGCGGCGCGGGCAGGCCGAGCGGCCGCGTGGCCCGGCCCATGTGCTCCACCTGCGGCCGCCGCCCGCCGCCCGCGCGGGCCCTTTAAGACGCCGCCCCGCCCGCCCGCCCGCCCCCCTCGGCGTCCCCCGCCCCCCCGAGTTGCATCAGGCACGTGCTCGCCCCCGTCCGCGCGGCTCCCCTCACCCCGCGGCCCGCGAGGCGCGGCGCCGAAGGCGGGCGGGGCGGGCCTCGGGGCGGGGCCGGCGGCGTGCGCGCGCGCGCCCGCCGCGCCGCCGCCGCCCGCGCCCTGGGCCGGCCGGCGGGCGCGCCCCCGCGGCGCCGCCCCGCCCCTCGCCGCCGCGTCGGAGGCGCGCGCCCGCCGCCGCCCGCCGCGGATCGCGTGGTCGCCGCTGCCGCCGGCCGCGTCCATATTGCTGCACCGAGCGGGCCGCGGCGAGAGGCGGGCGAGCGCCCGGGCCGCAGCGAGCGCCGGCGGCCGCGCCCGAGCCGACGCAGGCCGGCCCGCCCCGCGCCGCCCGCGCCGAGCCCGGGCCGCCCGGGGCGCCGAGAGCCGGCCGCGGCGGGGGCGCGGCGCGGGCGCCCGGCCGATGGCCGCCCAGGTGGAGCCGCTGCTGCCGGGCGCCGCCGCGCTGCTGCCGGCCGAGGAGCGCGGCGCGCGGGTGCGGAAGCCGCCGCCGCCCGCCGAGGGCCCGGCCGAGCCCGGGCCGGGCGCGGGGGAGCCGGACGCCGGCGCCCGGAGAGCGCGGCCGGCCGGCGCGGGGGCCCCGCGGGCGGCGCGCGAGAGCCCGGCGGGCAGCGACGGCGAGGAGGGCGGCGGCGAGCCGGGGGCCGCGGCGGGCGCCGGGCGCCGGGACTTCGTGGCGGCGCCGCCGCCCAAGGTGAACCCGTGGACGAAGCTCGCGCCGCCGCCGGGCCCGGCCGCCGTGAACGGGCAGGCGCCGCCAGGTGGGTGCGCGGCTTCCGGCGGCGGTTGGCCGGGCCGGGCCGGGCCGGGCCGGGCCGGGGCGGGGGCGGCGCGCCGGGGCGGGGGGCGCGGGCGCGGGCGGCGGCGGCGGGAGGAGGGAGTGGCCGCGGTGACAGTTGGGCGCCATGCGCCGCGGCCTGCGCGCGGCCTTCCCGGCATTCCTGCGCCGCGGCCCCCCCGGCGGCTGCGGGGAGTCCCGGCCGCCGCGTGCGCGCGGGGGCGGGGGGCGCGCCGGGCTCCCCGCGGGTCCCCGGCCCGGCCCGCGCGGGGCGGCCGGGGGGCGCCGCCGTCGGGCTCGGGGTCCCCGGGAGCCGCCCGGCCCGCCGCGGTCCCGGCCCCCCCCCCCGCCGGCGCCGCCCGCCGGGAACCCTCCGAATGGGGAACATGGAAGGGGGCGCCGGGGGGGGCGCCGGGCCTCCCTTCGGGAGCGGACTCGCCCCGGACCTGGGGAAGCCGGCGGCGTGTTGCAATTCTTGTGTCTTTCAAGGTTGCTTCATTTGGGGAGAAACACGGGGGGGGGGGGAGCACCCCAGGCCGCGCCCCCGGCCCTTCCCCTTCCCCGGCCCGGGCCGCTTATGCAGAGGGCCGCGCTGAAACCTCCATTTTCTTGCAAATCCCTCCTGACCCCCCCACAGAGGGAGGGAAAGCAACTTTGAGACACTCTTTGGTCCTGCTCCCCCTCTTTAACTCGCAGGGGTATAATCATCCCGGGAGAGCGCTGCTCTCAGAAGTTTAAATGGGGCTACTCACCCCGCTGCTGCTGCTGCTGCTGCTGCTGCTCGGCTCGTGGGGAACCTGCCCTGTGGGTTTTAAATCAGCCATGACATCAGGTGGTGCTGGGTGCCTGAGCTGGCGTTTTGTGCAAGTCCCGGGCCCTTGAGAGGGTGCGTCACTGGGGCTATTGATCGTGGGAAGAAGGCGGCCTGGCTGGCTTCTCGCCTTCCCCCGGAGCAGAGCCACCAGCTGGTTCCGAGTGGCCAGGGCCGCTCTGGGTCTGGGAGACGGCTCTGCTCACAGCGGGATCTTAAGGCAAGGAGGTGTCCTGTCCACTCGCTGCCTCCCAGCTTTGGCGGCACTTCCCCCCAGGATCGGATGGACCCAGCGGCCGTCCGTGCCAAGGTTCTCGTTGGGGATCCGGTGCCTTTGCAGGGAGAATCCTGGGCTGGCACTGTCTGTCTGGTAAGGCGCCAGGATTGCCCTCTTTGGCGTCTCCATGGGTCACTACGGCCCTTCTGCGCCGGGACCAGGCTCAGGGTGGCCCGGGAGCGGCAGGGCAGCTGGGGCCCGTGCAGTGGTGCCCGCGGAGGCTGCAGAAATGCGGGCCTCGGAGCAGGCTTTCCAGCACTTGCTTCAAATGCCTATTTTTAGCCCTCCTTTTGGCTCAGATGCCAGTGTTTTCGTTCTTTAAGGGACACATGCAGTAACTGGTAATAAAAGACGTTTCGCCACGGCCCCCTTTCTTGTGGGGTTCTTTATTCTGGTTTAATTTTCTACAGCTTACGTGGGTCGTTTCAAATCTTGGGATTTGCATTTTGGCTTTTGGTATTTCCCATCCCCAGACTGTTTTGACAACGCTTAAGAGCTCTTCCTCCTGTCCCCTCACCTCAGCTCGCCTCACGCGAGAGGCAGGGCGCAAGCTGAAAGAAGCGGAGGCTGCAGAGGTTTGGGGCTCGGGTGCCACCCTGCCTCTTGCTGGCCGTGCCCCCGGCCAGTTACCTAAGCGTGCTGGGCCTCAGGCCCCCAGGCTTCCCGTGGGATGACCTGGTGTCACCTCTCCCGCACGGCCTTCAGCCTTCATGTCCCTCGTGTGTGGCGCTGCAGTGATGGGCGTGGAGCCCCGGCCCACTGCTGGCAGGGCCCGGCCTGCGCCCCCGGGGGACTGAGAGATGGGGGCTTTTCCTGGGTCTCTGCCTCCCCCCCAGGGAGACCAGGGGCTGGAGAGGCAGCACTTCCCTCCTTGGGGTTTGGGTCAGGTCTCTCAGAAGTGGACTTTGCTGCCCCTGACCCTGATGGGCATTGCAGGGCCACCCAGAGGTTTGACTGCTCGTGCTTTGGAGTGCAGCAGGGTGAATGTTTTAAACGGAAGTGTTAATTTGCTACTTGCTTTGTAGAGATGACCTGCGGGGGTGCCGCGTGCTCTGGGGGCCCGGGGTAGGCAGCCTCAGGGGAGGCCAGCTGTGCGGTCGCCCCCACCGGCCTGCCATGGGCATCCGTGACAGGTTGTGTCACCCCTTGCGCGTGTGAGGTGAGAGAACTGCCCAGCGCAGGGACAGTCGGGCAGGCCCTGAGGCGCGCGGGTCTGTGTCCTGGGCGTCTCCTTATCTCTTTCTGTGTCCCTTTAAAGTGCAGCCGGCTGGCAGCACAAAATGAAAACTTGGTTATCATCACGTGTCACCCAGGCGGACCCCGGGGCCCGCCCACCCCACGTTCTGGCCCTAAGTAAAGCTCCACTTTCCTTCCCAGGCTTGGGCCCCATTCCCGTTTGCTCGGGTGCAGAAGTGGAGCGTCTGGGGCATCCTCGCTGCCTGAAGATCTCTGTGCTGGTCACCTCAGACTCTGACCTGGAATCAGAGTCTGCACTTTGGAGCCCAGCTTCTGCCCTCTGTGCTACCCGGGGGGGGGGGGGGGGGGCTTGCACGGCCGCCCTGAGCCGCCGTTAGTTCAGACTCGAAATGAGTGTGACGACAGGAGCTGTCTTCTGCGGTTCTGAGGGGCAGAGAAGGCAATATTTGCAAAGCCCGTCACAGCACAGGGCCCAGCTCAGAAGGCCTGGCCAGCGCTGCCGCCTTCGTAATCGCCGCTTTAAGGAGTTTTCATTCTCTGCGGCGGCCGTTGCGTGTGGGGTCCACCTCCCACTTGGCTCCTCACCAGCACGGCGGGCCCGGCCGCTCCTGTCTTTCCCCGTGCCTCTGTTTCTTCTCCTGTAAAACAAGGGCCTTGGACTAGCCGTGGCTTCTAGGTTTTTCTCATTGCACTTTGTCAGTAAGACTCTTCCCTGGAAAGGGGGAGAGGGGCCGTGTGTGTTGCCTGCGACCAGGGGGCCCGTGCCGTGGGGCCCGGCAGTGCAGTGTGCTGTCCGTGAGGGTTACCCCTCGAGCCCAGGCCCCGTGGACCCGCACATCTGTGGGAACCGACTTCTGAATGAGGAATTCCGCAGGACAGAGTACCTTACCCGTCTTCGGCGGCTTTTAAAAGGGAGTTGTGATGGGTGGAGTTGCGGCTCTTGTTTGGATCCTGGGGTGACCTCGTCCATTCAGGTTGCGCTGGGGCGGCACGCACGGCGAGTGCATCTGGCTTGTTCTAAACCCCGTGGCTGGTTCCGTTGACGCCCCTGCCACGCGCTGCCAGGTCAGCCTCCACAAACAGGACTTGAAGCTCTTTCCCTGCTCCAGACATCTCGCCCTCGGAGAGGAATTCCCTCAGAGTGGAATTCTGGCCCGGCCTGGGAGGAGGCAGCCGCCTCCCTGGAACCCGGGGCTTCTGGCCGCGAGGAGTGCCAGCTCCGGGCCACGAGGTGCTGAGCTCCAGGGCGGGTTCCAGCAGTCCTGAACCCTGCGCCTCCAGGGGCCTGGCCCTCGCCTCCGGTGGGACCCAGGCACAGAGAGGATTGGATGGCTGTTGCTCTGCACCCCCACCCCGCCGCACCCCCAAGTTTGGGAGGTGGGGAGGAGGAGCTGGCCCCAGGCCACAAAAACCTCTTTAAAATGGAGAGCTTGGCAGAGGGGAGTGGCCGTTTGCAAAACCCAAGAGGAGCTCCAAGGGGGTAATTAGGGTGTTGGGGCCTGGGGAGGACCCACGGGTGCCCCGGCTGGGCTAGCATGGTGGGAGGGAGTGGCCAGGAGAGAGGGTGCAGGGGCTGGCCTGGGGCTCCAGGAGGGAAGGAGGCTCTGATACCTGGCTGTGGGCGCAGGGGCTGGAGCCCGGGTGAAGTCAGGACACGCCGGAGCGCGTCTACTCTCACTGTCACCCCGGACGGCCCGCCTGACCGTGTCCTCGGTCACGGGAGCCTGATGGGGCCTGGGCCGTCGGAGGTGGTGGCCCTGCACTGGCAGATGCTGCACGTCCAGAAGGCGCGGCCTGCAGCTGGTGTGTGTGTCTCAGCTTCTTCCCCTCTGTGCGCTGCCCGTGCCTGTCCTAGCAAGGAGGCGGCTCCAGGGGTAACTGCGCGTGAGGCCCCCGGCCAGCGTCCCGGGGCAGTTAGCCTGGGGCCTCTCTGAGGGGTTTCCCCAAATCACAGGGACAGCCTGGACGCAGCGTCTCTGGGCTGTGCCCATGGCCCTGCGAAGTCCCGGGTGTGGGGGTGAGGAGTCTGAGCCTTTCTTGGTGGCGGTGAGGTGTCATAAATACCCTCTAGACTGGCTGCGGCCCCCGCTGCACCCCCAGAGCACAGAGGCAGTGGCTGGAGGTCACTGCTCTCTGCCCCGCCCTGAGAAGCGGTCAGGGCCTGCGGAGGCGCTGCTGTTGCCCGGGCGTGGTCGTCGCCCTCCTTTGCGCTTAAACCAGCTCTCCCCATTTGCTCGGGCCCCCTCCTCACACTCGGGGCTCCTGAGAGACACCCTGAGGCACTCTGTCCCTCCAGGGGCTCCCGCTGAAAGCCTGGGGCCATCCTCGCAGCCCTTTCTCTGGCACTGCCCATCTAGGGCGCAGCTCCTGAAGGGCAGCTTCCCACCTCCCGACCAGGCAGCCCCACCCATGGGCCCCGCCTTCCCGAGCCTTTCAGGGAATCAGGTCCTACCTCCTGGACTTTCACAGCTTCTCTCCCAGCAGTCCTGCTTTTCCTGGAGCTCCTGTGCGCCCTCCAGCTTCGGGGCCTTTGTTCTGGAATGCTTATCCCCCGGGGCGCGCGGCTCACACCCTCGCCTTCTTCAGGCTCTGTTAAAATGTCTCTGCAGAGAGGCCTTCGCAGACCACCCTGCCCAACACGGCGGGCTGTCGCCAGCACCGCCCATGCCTGGCACACAGCGGGCAGCCCGCAACGTGT